TCATGCATATTAGAGCGGACGACGATGATGAAGAAGACGATAATAGCGGAATAAGAAGTGACAATATCAAAATCGACCCGAGTCTCAAGTTCGAAAACCCGAGTCTTCGTCAAGCCTACATTGCTCTTCAATCATGGAAACAAGCTATTTTCTCTGACCCTTTTAACTTCACAGCTAATTGGAATGGCTCTGATGTTTGCTCTTACAATGGTATCTTTTGTGCTCCTTCTCCTTCTTCGCGTCCGAAAACCCGAGTTGTGGCAGGCATTGATCTTAACCATGCTGATATGGCTGGTTATTTACCTCGTGAGCTCGGTCTACTCACTGATCTTGCTCTCTTCCATCTCAACTCAAACCGCTTCTGTGGAGAAGTACCTATCACTTTCAAACACATGAAGCTTCTCTTCGAGCTTGATTTAAGTAACAACCGTTTTGTTGGAAAGTTCCCTAAGGTTGTCTTATCTTTACCTTCCCTCAAGTTCTTGGATCTTCGTTACAACGAGTTTGAAGGTGGAATCCCGTCAAAGCTCTTCGATAGAGAGCTTGACGCGATATTCTTGAACCATAACCGGTTTCGGTTTGGGATACCAGAGAACATGGGAAACTCCCCTGTTTCTGCTCTGGTTCTTGCGGATAATGATCTTGGAGGTTGCTTACCTGGAAGTATTGGTCTTATGGGGAAAACTCTTAACGAGATCATCCTCTCTAACGATAACTTAACCGGTTGCTTACCACCACAGATCGGGAACCTCAAAAACGTGACGGTTTTCGACGTGAGTTTCAACCGGTTAAGCGGTCCGTTACCGTCAAGCGTTGGAAACATGAAGAGCTTGGAACAGCTTAATGTTGCTAACAATAGATTCACAGGAGTTATCCCAAGCAGCATTTGCCAGCTTTCTAACCTTGAGAACTTCACTTACTCTTCCAACTTCTTCACCGGTGATGCCCCTAAATGCGCGGCTCTTTCGGGAGACGATGTGACGGTTAATGGTTCGATGAATTGTATCGCGGGTAAAGGACGTCAAAGATCGGCCAAAGAGTGTTCTTCTCCAGCCTCACGTCCTGTTAATTGTACTAAATTTGGATGTAACAACATTTTCTCTCCTCCACCACCGTCTTTTAAGATGTCACCTAACGTTCGAGTACTTCCTCCACCACCTCCTTCTTCCAAAATGTCGCCAACTTTTAGAGCAAATCCGCCACCGCCTTCGTCTTCCAAGATGTCGCCGACTTTTAGAGCAAATCCGCCACCGCCGTCTTTTAAGATGTCACCTTCCGTCAGGGGCTATCCTCCTCCTCGGCCGCCACCAAAGTACGAGCAATCTCCGCCTCCTCCATCTTCCGGAATGTCACCTACCGTTCGAGCATAC